GCCTGAGATGCTGCTGCCTATNTGGACTATCCCTGTCACTGAATCTATCACTGTCCCTAGGTGTAATATTCGTGTGGATAGAGGGAGGTGGCTTTTGGGGAAGTTGACGGAGAACCCCTGGGGCTGGAGACACTGGGTGGTAAGGTAAAGGTCGCTGAGTGCCTGAGAATGTGACCCTGCCTGAACTAACACATTGTCCAGATAACATTGGAGTCTCACTGGGGTGGAGCGGAGGTGAGAAGCCAATGTCGCGAGGACCTTCGTGAAGGTATGAGGAGCTGAGGCCAGGCCGATGGGAAGGGCGCGGTATTGATAGTGGAGGTCCCCGTATGAGAACCTCAGATACCTGCGGTGGGCTGGCAAAATTGGAATGTGAAGGTAGGCCTCTATTAGGTCTACTAAGACCAAGTAACCCCCCCAACGGATCCCCTGAAGGATGGATCTGAGGGACATTTTGAAGCACCTGTAAACTAGATATTGGTTCAGGCGCTTGAGATCCAGAATTGCCCTCCAGTCCCCCAAGCTCTTTGGAACTACGAACAGGTTGGAGTAATGGCCCAACCCACGTTCCGCCGGTGGAACCGCTTCCACTGCCTCAATGTCGAGAAGATGCTTTATAGCCAGATCCATTAGGCAGCAGCGCTCTGGGTCCCGGTAGGGAGGGAACGTTCTGAAGAGCTGCGGGGAGGTGGAGAGGAACCCTGCCGCAGACCGAGCCTGACGGTGGATCTGACCCAGGCATCCGTGGTGATCCTGTCCCACTGGTCCGCAAAGTGAGCCAGGTGGCCACCTATGAGAAGATATGGGTTGGAGTCATTTTCCCCTGCGGAAGGGCTGCCTAGACTGACCTTGGTACCTGCTACGGTCATGGTAAGACAGGCGTTGGAACTGTCTGAATGATCTAAAGGAGTTGTATCTTTGTTGGTGATTGTGCTCGAGTGCTCTATAAGAGGGTCTCCGATAGGGAGCATGATAAGAGTCTGCCTTTTTGGCATTAGACGGAAGGACCTTCTTCTTATCCTTATTTTCTATTAAGATAGGATCTGGCGCTTCCCCAAAAAGATTAGCCCCTGTGTAAGTAGCCGCTGCCAAATTCCATTTGGTCTTGTTGTCCATCTGCCAACTGCGCAACCACAACAAGCATCGGGAAGTTACTGACATGGCTAGAGTGCTGAAGGCAAATTTAACGGCATCCAGGGTTGCATCAGCCGGGAATTGAGAGGTGGCTATAATTTTAGTTCTTGATGAAACCGCTCATCCTGGATCGGAATACAGTCCTGGAGTTGACGGAGCCACATAACGGTCATGCAGTTAAAGTAAGAGGCCACCGCTGCCGATTTGATTGCCAAGGCAGAAGCGTTAAGTTCTTACGCAAGATAAGTTCCGCACACTTGTCCTCTGGCTTCATCTTATCAGCCGCACCCCCAGAGACTACCGGGGAGGAGGCAACCAGAGCTGCTACTGGTATATCGATTGCTGGCAATTGCAGGGCCTGGGCAAAAGCCTGCTCCACATTGTAGAAGCGGCGATCGTTGCTGCCTGGATTGGAAAAGGTGGATGGACAGGCCCACTGGTTCTTTATAATCTCAAGGAACAGGGGGGGAGCAGGAATCTCCTCCTTGTTTGTGGCGGTGTTAGAAAACATAGCCAGATTGGTGTCCCTAGGCTGAGGGACTGTCGGATCCCCAGTTCCGATCTTAGTAGCTTTCCTGGCTTTGCGTAACAGAATTTTAAACATGGCTGGTGGAAAGAGACCCAGAAAGGCGGGGGGGGGGGATCTGGAGGAACTGAATCTCATCCTCTGAGAAGTCTATGTTGTAGTGGTTGTCCTCCCCCAAAATTGAACCTTTGCTGACCATGGAGGGGGATGGGGGCCTGGGATGCTGCTGCCTATGAACCCCTGGGGCTCTGCCAGGGTGAGGGGCCCTGTCTCTCTGGGACATGCTGGTGATGCCTCGTGAGATGGCCATAGAAATGAGTCGTCTTAATACTTTCAGGCAGGAGATTTAGGTCTTCAAGATCCTCCTGTGATGGGCCTGGTAATGGTGGATCCTGGGGGGCTAACCCTGCAGAGGTGTGGTATGACCTAGAAGGGCCCTCCAAGGGGTCTGCATCCCCACACCCAACGGCTCTGGGAGAGATAGAAGGGGAAGGGGAAACACCTTCCCTGGAATACCTATGGGATCTAGATGGGGAAACTGAAGGGAAGAAGGACTAAACCCTCTAGGAGGAGAGCCCAAATGGGTGGATGAAGGCCTGATGGGGGACCTGGATCTGCTGGTCGAACAGGGTCTGGTGATTTGGGCCTGCTTTTCTGCTCTGGCTATGGTCTTCTCCAGAGCTCTCTGTCTCCTAAGTTCATCCCTTGTTGCTGCTCTGGAAGGGTGCTGAGCTGCCATAGATTTGGAGAGCGCAGCCCTGGTTCTGGGCCTATCTGCTGGTCTTCCTTGCCTTCGTTGGAGGCCTCTAATGGGGCCTGCGGAGGGTCAGATCTTTCTGCCATCGCAACACTCATGTGTCCAGATTCAAAGGCCACTGTAGGTTCCACCAGTGCCTGGGCCTGCGGGAGCTGCAAATCTGTATTCAGGTCAAAGTCCTGCCGGTCTTAAGGAACTTGAAGGCGGCCATGCGGTTCCTCGGGCGGTTTTCCACACTTGGCACAGCGTAAATGGCTGCTGGGGCCTCTGAAAGCGCTGCCGAGAAGTCTGGAACGATCGCAGCTTGCCTTTTAAGAGCCACAGCTCGTCCTTAATCACCTTGGCCCCCTCTGATCTGGGACAGCGCGCTGGGGAGGAACGGCGCACTGGGGAATCTTCGTGTGCTCTCACAAGGCTCTCAGCACTGGAAAGAAAGCCGCAGAGTCTCTTTTTAAATCTTGCAGCTTGCAGCAAGCTCGTCACCCCTGCTGGCCCGGGGATCAGAGCAAGGCTCCTGGCCAGTGGAGTGGGAGGGCAATGCCCCAAAGGGCTCTCCCAAATCGCACGAAGCAGAAAGGACTGCTCCTGGTATAATTTGGAATTTAGAGAAACCAATCAATCGAATCAAATAATCAATTATAATGAATTTATAAATGTTTCCTACCTAAGAGCCAAAACAACAGTGCTTGGACCAAAAGACTGAGAGGAAACTGGGAGCCAGTGGGAAAGGAGGAATATTAAAGAAACTTCCCTCAGTCTATGGACCAATCAGGCTGTGACAATACCCACGCGTAACCCCTCCCTCGATTTTACTGGAAAATTGTTTTATTCAACAGTTTCAGTCTGTCCATGAGTCTGACACTATGGAGAGGGCCAGAAAGGAAACACAAGGCATTCTCTGAATCAGACTTTAATAGAGGAGACAATACCCAATACCGGGTCAGCAAGGAGATTGCTGCATATCAGAAATGTATGCTTTTCCAGATATAAGATGGAAGGTTTTTTTCGGGAGAAACATATTACTCATTCATTTACCTTCAATTTCAATATTTATTTATTTATTCGATAAAGGAAAGTCAGTCTGTATGTGCAAAGCGGGGGGATGTTCATGCGCGTATGCATGTATGTGAGTGAGAAACATATTTAGAATAGTCTTGGGAATTCCATTGAGCATACAATCAGGAGTGGGGTGAAGGTCCAAGATAGAAGCCAATACTTGCTCAGTGAAGAGTGGAATAGGCCTCACAATTTGCAGGAAATCAGACAGCAGTTTAATTAGGACATCATTCCATGAGCTCCTGCACCTTTCCCTGTCACAAAAGCACAAATCACTTCCCCTCTCTTTTCTGACTGCATAGGGCTCCAGTGGCAATTACAGCAATTGCTAACCTGCGAGAGTAATGGCAATGAAGTCCTGAGAATACTTTGAGGCATCTCTCAAAACAATTTAAAGTTGGGTGATAAAGAAGCAAGCCAAGATCACATGACCATGACAGATCACACATTGAAAATCTCAATCATAAAAAGCAACCCTGTGATGCCATTCATATCAAGCTCTCCTCCAACTCAATGCCTCTTCTTATTTTGAAAAGCATAATACACGGGGAAAGTCTTAGTTGCTCTTTTAAAATTCAAGCTCGCCGTGAATGAATGTTAAAAATCCTGTTAGGGACATTTTCCTTTACAAATAAAAAATTATCATTAGAAGAAGTAAGGGGTCTTCAAATGATAGCAGGAGCATCATGCCATATTATTGTCAAGAAACCCATTAACGTGGACCAGTGTTATTCGTGTTCTACAGAGATGGAAATAACCACAAACAAGATAAAAAGACACTACTGAATTATTCACAGCTCTCTCCTCCGACTGAAGTGGGACCACTCAACTGTTTTCCCCATGTGGAAAACCAGTTCACAACATGATTTATAGACTCGGATGGGCAGCAAAGATGTTTATGCATCCTGAGCTTTTCAAGTGGAATACCCTCTTCAGCATGAAAATACTGAGGCTGAAAATACAGCTCTTTATGCCAATCACTTTAAACCAAATTTGTGAGAAAAAAGGTGGAAATAAAAGATTAAGAACATCTTTTAACAAATGTAGGGAATTGCCGCAAGATTTCAAGGGAACAACTGTACAGGTTCTATATTGTCACGGTTGAAATGGCTAACTGGATACGTAGAAGATGGAGGGCCTATGTATCTATAATGCAGGCAACTCATACTCAGGTGTAAATATCTTCTGCCAATCAGAAGGACTGTACTATAATGTTTTGCCTGAACCTTTAAGTAAGCTTCTCTCCCAGCTTTCCTGGCAATTGAGTGCTGAGGGCTAGACAATCAAAAATCCTAGGAAGAGCTTTTAAAATTGGACTTGGGGATATACATTACATGTCTTCCCTAACATGCTTACCCCTCGCTGGATAATTAGGCTAAGTTCACAAACAGAGAGATTAAGTAGGAAAAAAAATATGAAAATATAGACAAAACATCAGGGGTAAAAACAACCTGCATATCAAACAGTTAATAAAAATCTGAAATGCTTGAATCTTGAACAGCAAAAAGGGACTAAAAAATAAAATACCTGGTTTCCATAAGCATTTTTCCAGATTTTCCATACGCGTGGAAAGCTAGAAAGAAAAAAAAAGTAAGGAGGGAAAAACACATTATCCCAATTGTTATTCAAACATGTGTTCAAAACATGGCCTGTATAAAATGAATATCGCTCACCAGAGGCCACTGAGAAGGGCAGGGTTTGCTAGTTTGGTTCCATCCCACCACCACGTTAGGGCTCCCTCCCTTCCTTGACATACCATTCACAAATCAGAAGCCACATGAAAACAAATTTGGAAGAAAGATTCAAAACAGGTTCTTCTTCCCTCCCCCCTCCCCCCCTCCAACCCAATAGCACTAAGTAGGACTTACACATGGTAACCATTAAAAGAAGAAAGGCAGCACTGAAAATATGCGAGCCTTAAGAGAGATTGTGTGGCTAAAAGTTACTGCAGTGCAAAATTTCAGTGGGGTTCCTGATTTTATTTCTTCCTGCCCCACTGTAGCTGAACCACTTTGTGCCGCTGAGGGGAGGACCAAGATGGGTGCCCAGAAAGCTCAACCACCCTGACCGTATCCGTGATTCACCACCACACCAAAGGGATTTAACCGATATATTTTTTTATTCTTTTTTTGTTTCATACACTGATCGCTGCTTGCCACACAAAACAATCAGCATCCTTGAAATCGCTGCTGCTCTGGAAAGCTCAGCTTGCATTTTCAAAAGCCATTTGACTATGAGGGTAAGAGGAAAATTACCACCTCCAATTCTGAGAGAAAACCTTTTTAACTGGAACCATTACTAATGCCACATTCATGTGAAATGTTTACAAAGGGCAGCTGGCTTTCAACCTCACTTTGCAGAATGTACTTATTCTCTTGGGGAAATCTGTGTTGTTGGGTTTATTTAAAAAAACAACAACCTAGTGCAGGAATGTAGCAGAAGAAGGATGAAGGCAAGAGAAAGCACCCCTCTCCACAACGGTAAAGGCCAAGGATAAAATCTCCTTAGAAATCAATTTCTCAATTGAAAAAGAATCACTGGTTTTCAATTAAAACAAGTAAGAATACAGAATACAACAAAGGCAGGCCCATTGATGAAAATGTCCTTGATGGCTCATCCTCAGTAAATCTGTGGGGAGGGAGGACAGAAAAGTCATTCAAATTTATCTCAAAAGAGAATTTTGACGCAAAGCCCAGTTTAGCAGAGGGTGGCAAATTGGCTGGCCATCACAGACCTAGATGCTCGGTTACGCTTTCACTTTTCATCTGCTATCGTGTTCCAGTTCTACAAATTTCAGTCTCAACAACAGGCTTTCCAAGCAAAGTACTTGTGAATATCAGTTTCCTATGTTCTTGTTTGCTTTAAAAATGTTTGCGGACCTATACAGTTAAGTACAAAGCAGACTTACTTCCCTGGCTCCAATATAGAATAGCCAGAGAAAAATTAGTCCCAAGGGCAAACTTGTAAGTGAAGCCTTAAGATAAATTTTAATGATTTGTTTCCTCAGATTATTGGGGGGTGGGGGGGCTCATATTGCAAACATTTTAGATTCTTTCTTTCTCTGGCTTTATAAAAGTCTAAACATACAATCCAGAAGGGATTAGCAACTACGTTGATCTGAGAATCTTATCTTCACGTGCTTTTATGGAAGAAAGTTAAAAGAGCCAAAATAACCAAATGCTGGCAGGGAAAGAAGTTTGCCCAAATCTCCCTGTCTCTCTCCAAAAAAGACAAACAAAAAAAAAACCTGACAGAGGGAGTCATTCATTTAATATTCAATGTAGAGAAGCTTTAGAAAGGCGATTAGGAAATTTGGAGAGTAATACTAACAGTTTTGAGTAAGTCACATACTCAGAGGTAGTTCATACATTATCTGATTATGGAAATTGTTGCTTGCATGGGTGGTCAATTTGCATGCTCAGTATAACTTCATGGGAGGTCTTTCCAGAAGATCACAGTAGCTACTTGAATTAAATGGGTGTGCTGGAAATGAGAAATCTGGGTTTTATTCTTCGTGGAAGTAGCCACTGGGATTGTCTATAAGAATGTTCTCTAGCATTCAATTGTTCACATGAAGAAAAAAAAAGCTGCTTGGGAGCAGTTATTTAAACATGTAAGCCAGACCATATAGCCTCCCATTGATGTTTAGGAATAAATGCCTGCTTTTGTCACTAGAAAAGGAAGAACCTACTTGACCAAATCTTTAGAAATAACCCAGCTGTAAATACAAGTTAATAAACCATATTCATTCATCTATGTGTGCTCAAGATTATCATCCTTTCGGATTTTCATTGGGCATCTCGTAAGTGTCAGAAGAAAACCAACTGATTAGGCAATAGCATGAGAAATAGCAACCTTTCAGAAGAGAATTTGGAGTTTCTGGACTAAAGTTAACTGGAAAAGTGGATAGAATTAAACAGAAGGGTTCTTCTGTCAGAAACTGGAAATGACTAAGGGGATTAATGTTCTAGGACAGAGATGGGGTACTATGGCCCTTTTGTGATTTGTGGACTTCAACTCCCAGAATTCCTAAACCAGCTCAGAATTCCGGGAGTTGAAGTCCACAAATCACAAAAGGGCCATAGTACCCCATCTCTGTCCTAGAACATTAATCCCCTTAGTCATTTCCAGTTTCTGACAGAAGAACCCTTCTGTTTAATTCTATCCACTTTTCCAGTTAACTTTAGTCCAGAAACTC